CTACATCAACAACACTTCCACATGCATCTTTAAAAAAAATAATTAAAAAATCACCGCATTATCAACTGTCAATCTTGAAAGTGTATTTTTAATTGCAGATTTACTGTTTGTTCTTCTGCGCATGTACTCTGGATTTTTTTGAGCGCTAAGGAAAAGTAACAGACTCTGCCATGTGTGGTCCCTCTTTCTCACCCAACCCAACCCATTCTGAGCAACTGGCTTCGCCCGCGGGTGAAGCCACCCTGGGTGACACCCAGTACAACCTAGGTAAGACTTTTCAGAAGTACATGTGTGGTATTTATAATTAATTACAACTGCAGACATATAGAATTCATCAGTAGAGCCACAGTTAAAACAACTGGGGTGCCTCAAGCAGGGAGAACGAGGTGGCTTATTTCTGAGATGGCATTTAAACTGTTTTGAGTGATAAAATTCTAAATAACACAGGTTTTGCCTGTCCAAGTTTGCTTTCCCTTCATCCTTTTGCTAAAAGACCAAAGAAAAAAAAAAGATAAAAAACCAGAGCCTTTTTGATATTACCCAATGTAAAAAAAAGAACAAAACCAGAAATTAAGAGAAGTGATGTGTGAGAGTGAGCCCGGCCAGACACACGGGCTTACAGATGCATGAGCTCTCCCATCCATCACAACCATTCCACTCTTTTTAAAAGAAAGCATTTTCTGGGCTAAGAAACAGGATACTGAGAGAAGGACTGAGCTGAAACAAACAGCCTTTCTCATTCTGGTTATTTATTTGATCTCCTTGACATGAAATGAAATATTGAATTGCACCATCCTTTCTAGAAATTACAGCAAATCCTCACATACTTGGATCATGAAATTTGAGCTGCTCTCTTCCTTCGGATTGCTTTTTCATTCTCTGCTTTATTCTTGCTGTGTCCTGGATGTCTTTTTGATTTCTATTTCATAAGAAATGGGCTTAGCTGTGCAAGGCTGCCAGATTAGCAGCACTACTGTAAGCCCATGATGAAGAGACAGTTAAAATGTGTTAAGCAAGCCGATGCTGGTACGTGTTATGCACATCTTGGAGCGTCTAAAAAAAAATTAAAAAATAAATCTGTGTCAGCATTTTTCCTACTATAGAAGAAACTGTATTTCCTTAAAAAGAGACCCAATGCAATAAATGAAAGTTGTGTTTTGTCTATTCTTTTCTTTTGTCACTCCACCTACTTTGCAAACTACCTTGAACTCATTATTTTGTCCAGGGTCAAGGAGGCTCTGACTTTCAAAGCTGGCACAACACGGTTTCAGCCCATGTCTTCTGCCCTTTCCCACAGTTCTCATTCAGTACAAGTTTACTTGCTCTTGCAGTGATGTGATGAGGCCAGTGTTCACAACAAAGAATTTTAGTACAGCTGAGTTGAATTTGCAAGAGTGTGGGTGCTAGTTAAGATTGTTGACCTCTGGGAAGAGCATTTAGAAGCATGGGACTTCACGGATGTTGGGGTTTTTTTGCATGTTGTATTTTCGGAAAAACAAAACATGCTATTGCTTTTCTGCTTTTCTCAGTCTTAGCACTTCAGAAACCTGCCTTTGGTAGTTTACTCCCCCAAGCTCTGTTCCTACTATCTACCTCACATGGACATGTGAAGAGATCAGGTTTGACAGATCAGGCTCTTCCAGATTTAGAGCACTGAAAGAAAACTGCCATGCTGCATTTGACTACCTTCTGTCTGTGTGTGCCACGATGCCCCAAGGCTTCCACCTCCATCGAGCGGCCTGTCACCCTGCCAATTATTTTCCCAGATTTATTTCAGCAGCCCCAGCTGCCTTCCTGCCAGGTAACTTCTTCCATTACTTATGCGCCACTAAACAAACCGATTGCCCTGAATGTCTTTAACAAAGACGCAACAATCTGGCCGCGGTCCCACCTCACCTCATTCCACAGAGTAATCACCACCCCTCTTTCTGGGTTTGCAATGGTAAAGATTGCACATTTCAAAGCCATGAGACTCAGCTTGGTAGGTCTATTAGTAGCTGCGCTTGTCTCAACATTGCAGGCAACTACCATCTAAGTCATGGTTCAAGCTGGGAAAACACCCCTCACAAGTACAGCATCTGTTCCGCTGCTCTGAAGGAGCCGTAGGTAGAGCTACAGGAGCAGTGCGGTAGCATTCGAGCTCTTCACAGTGCTACAGATAATGTCAGAATTGCCTTCTGTGCTTCACAGCAGATTCCAAAGGCTCTTGCCAAGCAAGGAATGAGAGCTAAGGGTTCATATTGACGTCCATTTTGAGAAAGTTATCTGGAAAACAGCATGGGAGCTGAAGAGCTTTTGAGACCTCCGTTCACACACAGTGAGCTTCCTGGGTTCCCAAATATGCTCCTGTATCAGAGCCACGGGAGCTGATCCAGCTGCTCGGGGGTAGTTAACCAATGGGTAGTAACTGCAGTAGGATACAGCCCAGGAACAGATGTGTGCTGCAAGCTACACCTGGTTCAACGTGATGAACACAGACATACTGTCCAGCTGATGCACAGATAACATAGGTTTAATTATCCACAGTTTGGTTATCTGGTGTTGACACGGTTTTTATGACTAAGTCACCCCTGAGATGCTCAGAATCTGGAAATCCCAACCACAGATAAAAATTTCCTTGCAGCCACATGAAGTCACAGTATTCTTCTGACAAACTTTGGCTGAGAATTTTGAGCATTTTTAACTTATCAGGCTTGCAGTGCATTTTACAAGGAGAGTGAAGTCTTAAGGCATAAATCATTGACCTAAAGGAAAACAACTGTGTAACAATATTACAAGATATACAGAACAGGATGCACTTGGATTCCAGTTTCTGTTCATTGGCTCAGCAGAGAGAAGGATCATAAATCAGAAATAGAGAATGGAAATCAAAGAAAAGCAACAGGAAGTGTCAAAATGAAAACCTGGCAGAAATTACCGATAGGAAGAAAAAGAAAAAAAGACTCCAGATGTTTTTTAAAAAAATAAAAACCTGGGAAAGATTCAGTGAACAAAAGATCTACAAGCAGAAAAGAAAAAAATAAATGATAGCTCGGGTGGGGGGCTTCTCCTCTTTCTTTCTCACATACAAGCCAGGTCTAGTGAGGCAAGAAAATAGGTATCTACTAAGGAGATGAGGGAGGTGAAGGGGAGAAAAAGCTATATAAACATCACCTCCCCTCCTTTCTTCCCATGAAGCACAGCTCTGGAAAATCTGATCCTAGAAATATTTCAATCGGGCTCGTAATTCAAAAGGTTCATGAAATCCAGGATTATTACCATGAGAGAACTTGATCAGAGCAGCCAGGCTGTAACATTTAAGGGGCTCCTTATTCACACATACCTACAAGGCTGCAGCACTCGCGGTCACAGGGCGAGGAGCGTGTGAATCCCAGCCCTGCGCAGCACCAAGCTTTTTCCTCGGGGGCCATCTGCCGGCTTTCGTGCAGATGCTTCTCGGGACCTTTCTGGGATGATGATTGCTTTATCAGGTGCATCGAAGGTGAGTGATGCTGGAGCCATTAGGCATGATTTCTCATGGAGCTGTGGTCCAAGCTGGGCTGCAGGCTGCATCTTTCTGTCCTCCGTGACACTGTAACTCCAACTGGCATGTGATTCTTAAATTGGTCTTCTGAAGACTTTAAAAAAAATAATAAATCCAGCTCCATTTCCCATACTTCCCCTGCAATCAGAGATGTTCTCCCCCCTTTCCCATGCGTGTGCCACGTTTAATTCAACAATGGCCCTAAATGTTAATAATTGTGAAGGTAAGGTACTCTAAATCCTTCCTCCAACAAACAACTAAACCCAACATTAATCTCTTTGCCTAAGAATTTTTCAAACAAAACTGTGAATGAGGGAATTAATTTGCAGACTGATACTTAGAAAGACTAAATCATTCACTGATCCATATTTAATTTCTTAAAGAATCAAGCTTAGTCAGTAGACTCTTCAATCAAGAATAGATTTTTATTTGTACATGATCATTTCAGGGTAATTTTACCAACTGGTATATATTTGTATCATGCTGCTAATAAACTACAGTGTATTATTGTAAACTCATGTTCAAGCTGCTTAACTCAAGAATGGCTAGAAGCTTAAGGCTATCATTAAAAAAACCCCAACAAAACACCAAAACCAACCAACCCACACTGTCCCAGTCAAATCAAACACCTTTCTCCCCTCACTCCTCCAGCATACAAGTTTTATGAATTTGAACGACATTCATAAAGCATACAGCAAAATGAAGAAGCCTTCAATCCTAGCACATTCCATACAAAAATAACCTCATGTTTTAAGGAACCAAAATATCCCCTATTATTAACAGAGAATGTATGCTGATCTACCAACAGCAATTTGCATCTGAAAGGCTTATTACCTTTCAAAAATAGAGTTTCCTCTCTCAGACTACAGAGACTGATACACTTTCCAATTTAAAGAGCTCCAGTTGCTATAATTCAAAATTACATAGCCGGGCTGTATTTTATTTGCATTTCATTTAAGCACCCAGCTTTTCCAAAGTGCCCTTCTGCTTTCTTAATAGATTTGTCGACTTAGCTCTCCTCCTCTGCAGCCACATACATTCAGACACAAAAAAAAATCATGAAAAGCCACTTGCTACATACACCTGTCCAGATTGCATGCAGTTACATGTGAAAGTGCACTGGAAAGTTACAATCCATCTGACCAAAAGATTTCTAAAAGGAAAATAATGATTTTCTGTGTATTGTAATAGCATCCACTGCTCTGAGGTGAAAAATTAACAATATACTTCTTTAGAGGTAAGAAGATCATGATAATGGATGCATTACTGTTAGAAACTCTTAGCAATGCAGGCATCAGAAGTAATACTAGGTCTGTTTATGCATTAGTTATTTTCATGAATAATGCTAAAAAGCTTTTTAATTATTGCATCATCCTCAAGACATTGTTGGGGCTCAGAATCTCCTCAAATTTGAGACATATCAGAAAGGCCACAGAAGACAAAACAGACATTCTTTGGTATTTTTGGCATTCTACTGCATTGCAATGATACTTAAACCTCAATTTTAAGTCTTGCAAATCTGTACTGTAAAGATGCTGGAGTTCTTAACAAAACAAGCCCTTTTTTATCTGCCGGTTGGTTGTGCAACATATAAATTAACCCTGTCAAGCTAACAAAACCCAGTGCTTCTCCACAGCCCACAGCCAATGAAAAATCCCCTCGAGTGACATATCCCAAGAGAGTTCTGGAGCAGTGGGAAGTAACATCTGGGAGAGCGTCTGACCAAAGGCCAAGAATGAGGTCTTCACGCTCCTCAGTTGTCTCTTTATCTGGAACGCTCAGAGGGTCACTTTCTAGAGCCTTTGTGTTACCGTTTTTCTTCTTTGTCTTTTTCTCCTCTTTTAGTTTCTGTACCTTGTGCTTGAATATATCATGATGTTTGGGTTCTTGAGGACCACAGAAGAGTTTGTCTTTGCTTAGATGCAGCAAGTCGTCTTCTGTTGGAATGCAAATCATGGTATGTAATTCAGGGTTTCCCTTTCTCAAGAGAGACAAGTTGACCCATACGAGAGCCCTTGGATAGCTCGTCAAGATTGGCAAAAAGACATCTTCAGTCATTTCCTTCTGTCCCAGTCGAGAAATAAGGCGGATTCGGCGATCTTTTCCAGCAGTGGGATAGCACCAGGCTGACAACTGCATTAGTAGTTTCTCGCTTCTATTAAAAATTTTTAAAAATAAACATCAAGGATAGTTATTAACAAATAGTGTAACAGAAATCCAGTGCCTCACATATTTGCAAAAGTATGATTAAAAAAAGCCCTGGGGCTTTCTGTACCCTTCCAAGCTGGTATTTGTATCGCTCTGAACACAAAAAGAACATGGGTGAGTGGAATTCATGTGTGAGGCTATTTCTTCGGAAGGACACATTACTTGGTAAAATCCACAAAACTTGTTAAATCACAAATGCTGTAAAACCATCAGTGACATTAATGAAGTCCAGAACTGCCAATGTTTTCTCCCCCTGATAACTACACAAAAATGAAAGCGCTGCATTCAGGCACTTTCCAAACACTGTTGCTGCCCTCATGCGTTGCATTGGAATGCAGGGGATTCTCTATTTTCTTTATAGACCTTATTAAGTAGCACAAGAATCACCAGTGACGGTGTATGAGAAAAGAGAATGCAAGCTGATTTACACAGCAACAGTTTTAAAATCACAAATATGAGCCTCTAAAAGCTCCATCCACCTGGCAGCAGGCAGAATATGCCAACTCCAAGAACGCTTTAAACTCGGGAGTGTTAAATTTAAGATAATTTAAGAAATTTACTTTGTCTATTCACCAAGTTTGCTAGGGAAAAGCAGAGGGACTTCCACTCAAGAGCAAATTCTGATCCACCACAAAACCATTTAATCTCCTCACTATATTTGGATCAAATAATCCTCTCATCTTAATAATGGTGAGCTCTTCCTTTCTCCAATTCAGTAATTCCCAATAAAGAAGTAACATCTCACATGCATGTATCATTTTGACATACCTGAGAACAATAAAGTCACTTCTTGTCATAGTTTCATCTCTCTCACCAAAGTCCTGGGTGCCTGTAACATCACCTGTCCTTAGGACACCTTCAGAGCTTGCCATTTCCATGGTCTCCTCCACCTCACCAGTCTCAGGGGAAGCTTCTTTGACCACTTCTGCTTTGGGGTCACAAAAGCTATGCCCTTCAGTTGTGCAGTGCTCAGGGTGAGGGGAAGGATGTACAAATTCTCCTGAAGCTTTCATTCTTCCTTCCCAGTTCTTCGTCAGCTGCCCCCAAGGACAGACAAAAGGCGACAGAGTGCCCAGCTTGACATAGTTTGTCCTTTTTGCAGGTGGACGTCTAAATGATAAATCAAGTAGGTAAGAATATATGTTTCCCGGGCCATTATTCAGTCCCTAGCACTTCGAAAGGCTAACCATCTACTTTGTCCTGTGCATTCTCTTTGTAATCTCATTGAGAAAGAATTTTAAAGCTATACTTCTAGCCAACACTGCTGTATTTCTGACCAACATATCCCTTCCACCATGCTGGTTATTTCCATTTACTGTGACTGACACCACCTCCTTTTCCTCCAAACTTCTCCTACTTCCGCCTCTTAGCTGAAAGGGGAGCCAACACCAGTGGGTGCAGAGGACACTTCCAGCTACCCATACTCATGGTTAAGAGTTCTGTGTTTACTGTAGTGAAAATGAAGGCAAACTTCAGAATATCTGGTATTTAAGAAGTGGACACTGAAATATACCTCTTTGTTCACTTCCTTCTTTAACACTTAGTACATACTTTGATATTCTGCCTTTGCCTTCTCCTACCTCCTCCCTCATTTGCTGCTAAGGGAGCTTGAAATAGCTTTGTTTATTTTATTGTTATGCAGCCTTGTTTCAGCCTTACAACTGAGCATATCTCTGGGAATAGAAGGTTTTAGTTAATTTATATGCAGTTTTGAGCACAGCTTTTCTGTTAAACACATCTAGGATACTTTTCTTTTTTATAGTATTAGGATTTAAAACACTAGTGTAAAAGTCTCAATAAAGTCCAAGTCTAAATGAACACAACAGATAATTAAGGGAGTATTTTAAGCATATTCATTTTTTTCATTCTTACAATCGATTTTGAAGTTAATATTACCGTTTGAATTTTTCAAGAAGACTAGTTTCCAGTTCTTTGGCAAACTGCATTATGGCAGTCTGGGAAATCATTTGGAGTGTGAGGTATTCTTTGATATTCAGAATGCTTTAAAGCCTCTTGCAAGCCACCGACTCGTACACCTCGATATATCTGTTATAAAAATCAAAACCCAAAAAAGCAATGTTTGTACTGATTCCAGGTTCCTAACTGAAAAAACAACACATTAATGCTCCAGAAGCTACTGCCTTAGAAAAGGGAAAGTCTATCACTTTAGCTTTCAAAATAAACAAACTTAAGTACGGTTTTCACAGTTTTAGATGCCCATTTCAACAAAAATGTTAGTCATGTTCTTTAATTCTGAAAAACTATCAACAAAACTGAAGACAGTTTCACAGGTTCTGATCTTGTATGTTGCCAAGAATGTCATATTGCTTTGACAAAGTCATCGCCCAATTTATTTTAACTGTATAATAGGTATCACTGCAATTAATCCCCCTGCGCATTCAAAAGCATAAATTTAACTGCAGAAAGACATTAAAACTGCCATCTAAACGTTCAAAGCAGGAACTGAAACTTTGTGTTTTTAAGCTCTCCTCCAAATCAGAGGCAAACAAAACTTGCTGACAGAGTGGTGGCGACAGCCAAGCTGGAAATGGATTAGCAGTAGGCACCAAATGACTTCTCTTTAGAGACATATGCCCTTAGAAACACAAAAACCAAAGAGCTATAGCATCAGCTTTCTTTCCTTACTCCCCACTCTGATTTCCTGCTTTAGACTGCCACGTGGGCACAGTTACACCCAACAGAAGATACGGAAAGCTACTATTTATTTTTAAGACCAAGCCTCTGTCATCAACTAGTTCATACACCCTCTTTTAGAGTGGGATTTTGATCCTGTAATTGTGAATTGGTTACACAGTGTGAAATACACTCTCTACAATCTACTATTTTGAACCAAATGATATAATTTGTTATATTTACTTGCAATGAGAGTCACTTACAAAAGGAATCCAGAAAGCCATGCCCCAGCCCTTTGGGAGGTAGATATCCCAGCCACTCCCCCATCCTGGTCGATCTTCTCCAGCCATTTTCCCTGGCTGCTGCACCAACAATATGGGAATCTTAGATTCACAAGGACCCAAATCAAGGTGTGATCCAGGTACCAGTAATTGAGCTCTCCTATGGTTTAAATCCTAAGGAGGACGAGGAGACATTTCCCACAAGTTAGTGACCATTTTTCCCTCTTCTAGACACCCTTCCAAGATACAGAGAGGAGGTGAGCTCATAACTAGGAAAAATATACTAGTAATATGCTACACATTTGAACTGACCTTCATCGAGGCACAAAAAGTGGTTTTAGAAAAAAGTATTAAGCACCCTTTTCCTCCCCTTCTTACTTCCACAGACCTTGATGGAGGACAGATACTGAAACTTAGAGCAAAAGTGTACAGCACAGAGGAAGGAGGGAAAACAAGTATTGCAACTTGGTATTTATAAATTTGTGCACAAGACTAGACTGAACAGGTGCTTTCAGACAGTCTGTCGATACACGGAGCAAATCTGAACTACATCCAGGGAGATGGAAAGAACATTTGGTCACAAAACAGTTTCACATAAAGCATGCTGGCACCAAGGCTTTGTCAATCACCAGTTGTTATATTTCACTGTACCGCATTAAGAATATTTATTAAAAAACATCAGACTGCCTCTTTACATGTCCATTCTGCATCAGCTGTTTTATAAGGTAAACATTACATTTCATGACAGCATGAAGAACACCGCCATATACAAAAAGATCATGCTGATAACTGTTATGCCCTAGGGTAGTATTTTGTAAGTACTCTTCTTTTTTACACTATGGCAGCCAATTTGAACGAGCACAAAACTAAATATTGTCTTTATGAAAATTAGAGATGTTTCTGCCATACAAATATTTTTTTCTTTTTTGGATTACAAAGGTGCTGAAAGTTTATCACCTCTTGTGACTAAATCACCATTTTACCCATGAATTTTGTGGGTTGCTCCTCCATTTTCAACGGAAATGCAAGAACATTACACAAAGGCTACAAAATAAACTCTTCAACTCAGCAGCTGGATATTATGACGTTACAAAACTACTGCTCTTGGATTTATACAAGTTTCAAGAGTCTCTCTCTATGGACCATTAGCCATTTTCTCCATGGCAATCCAACTTCTTAGTTACCTGCTCTGAGATTTTATTTTCAGTGACGTTCTTACAGATGTCCTGGTCCCAGATAAAGCTGTGAGCACAGTCTACAGGTACACCCTCCAGGTACAGCTGCCTAACTTTATCATTATCTACAAAAGAAGAGAATCTTCAAACAAAATTCAAACAATTTCTGTGGCTTAAGTATCAAATTTTCAAAACCACTCCACTATCATAAGCACAATGAGCAGACAACTAAGTAAACAGACTATTAAAAGCTTAACAAGCATCACTGCTTCTGCAATATCTTACCATCACATGTTTTTCCAGATACAAAATACAAAATAAACTGTTAGGTTTAGAAGCATTAGCCTGGCATTCTCTTACAACTAGGCATTTCATTTACCACCCACTCTGCACCTGCCACTGCAGATTCTTCTATCTCGAAGTGGCTGAGAAAGGACAATGGGAGTTCAAGGACTTTGGAAACTGAATGCGCTAGGAGACCTCTAAGCCCAGAAATGCTATAAGGAAATATTCTTGCTATCAGTATTTGGTTGAACCAAGCAATGAAGAGAGCCAGAGATCATAGTGGTAATTTCATACAAAATTATTACGACTGATTACCACCTTTGGCACTGTAAGTTGTATCTTTAGCATGCCGCCTTTAACATTCTGGAATCTGGCCTTTCAGGCAGACTGTGAAGCTCAACAAGTTTGGTGGAAATCAGAAAAAGCAACATTACAAAGCCTGAAATAAGTCCACCTAAGTAAACTTGTAAGAGAAGCGAGGGTGACCTTTAAGAAATGTACATACAGGAAATATTTTTAGGGGTATGACTAGCATGCAATTACTTATTTAGCACTAGCTTCCCACTCTGCATCTTTTCAGGCTCTGCACTGCAAGGAAGGGACTAGCCTTTGCTTATGTCTGCACAGACCAACAGTTGCGTGTGTTACTGAGGATAAATAACACTTCTAGCTTTAAAACTGATTATTGAGGTATTAAATAACCTATCCCTTCTTCAGCTCCACAACCTAACCAAAGCAGAGAAAATGTATACCTACCTTTAGTGATGTATGGATTAAAAGCCTTCACTGTACCGTATGTAATGCATGCTGATCCGTATTTTAGGTAAAATATTTCTTACCAATAAACAATACAATGAGCCTATTAATAGCTCTGATTAAATTTTAGAGGGATTGTTGCTCATTTTGTCATCTACAAGATCATGTACATTAAAGGAACATAAGGTGTTGGGTTTTGTTTTTTAGATCACTTAGTTTTCAAAAGAAGATTCAGCTAATTTTTCTGGTTAACGTTGACAAAGACTTTGAGCACAGAAGATATGGATTATTCAGTGGTACTAACAATACAATAGCTACTGCCAAACATAATTGCAATAATTATTTAAAATCTATAATCTTTAAGATGTCCCCATTATTAAGAGTCTGGAGATACAGCAAATACCAATGCCTCAAAGGAAGGAGAAGACAACAGCAACAAAACCGTGTGTAGTGGGGGGGGGAATTCCTTCTTGACTCTTACGGATAACCAAGGGGGAAGGCCACATAATTACAAGCAAACAGAAGGTAAGGAAAGTGACTTTTCTATCTTCTGTACAGAATGCATTCATGAACACCAGAATCTCTTTATGTTAAATTATTTAAACATGTTCTAGTTCCTTCAACTGCAAATTATTCACTGTAACTTTCCATGAAGTTTTTTTTACCACTTCTTTCTATTACCGCAGCTTAGGCAGTCTATCCCCATATTCTTGGAGTTGTTTACAATTCTATATTCTATAAAGGGATGAGTATTTTTTTTTTTCCACTTTAGAAAGCCGTTTTAGGTCAGTCTCTTTCCATGACCACAGTCCATCCAACATCCCCCTCACTACCCTAAAATACCCTTACCTAACTTGGTACATTCTTTCTCCTTGATCCCTGTTGAATTTGGGGAATTTAATCTAATAAGCATAGTTTAATTCAATTCACAATCCCAAATCCTCACACCAGTTCTCTTTATTTCTTACCTCTCTCCTGTTTTCTTCAGTCCACATTTTAAGATTGCTGGGGAAATAACCCTACTAATGAATAAGTTGCTGATCACAGTGGAAGTAAGATGTTAGAACTAGTATGGGAAATAGGGAGTTGTATTACTAAGCACGCAAAGCTCAGTGACAATCAGCACGTTATCTACTTCTGCTGGTGTCAATGGTTGGTGCTTAGACAATACAGGCAGATAGAGGAAGGTTTTTTCCATTTCAAGCTGTTGTTCAGATTTATGTAGCTGATTATCTTAACAGTCTTAGATCACAGGCCTAAAAGTAAGAGTTCTTCTATTTGAAATTTTTTCCTTCCCTCTGTGAGGAAATAACAGAAAAACAAAAAATATAAGCACTGATAGGGAGCAGTTTCAGAGCCACATGTACGGATGGGTGCGTGCCACGACAACTGATGCCAGATACCTAAACCTCTGCAAGAGGTGCGTTTACAAGCAGACTCAGGCTCTGTGTCTGCAGAAGGAACTTTAGCTCACTTATCTTTCATGATGCATTCTCCTTCTATGCATCTTACTCACTGATTGTTTAAAAGCTCCACCATACTCCATGTTGAGCAGTTTTTAAGGCTGTGGAATTTGCATTCTCCCATAGAAGACAGTAAAAGCATATCAAAATGTCAGAAGCACACTTTAAAATGGAGAAAAGAACGGCACTAAGTTGCAGTCATGTAAGCAATGACTGCTTACTGGGAGTCTTGACTTCCAGAAGGCATAAACCTGCTGAGAAGGTAGTGAAAAGTGATTTATTCACAAACTTTCTATCCCCCAGCCTAAAGAAACGAGGGCAGTTCTGTGATTAAATCCCATCAGCACGTACACAGCTTACACACATGCACATGCATTCAGGAGTGAGAATAACTGGGAAAGACTGAAATTACCTTTGATAGGTTAGCGTGTCACTCACAGGGGAAAAAGTACACAGGCATATATATCTTCAGCATTTTGAAAACAATAACAGGGATATGGACAGATGTGTATCATTTCACAGATTGCATGTACGCTAATCCACTGGCAAAGATGATGGCTGTTACTTACCTAAACTATCCACTCATTTGACAAAAAATGCATCTTTAAATTAGTAAAGACTTCCTAAGAAAAAATCAGTTAACTTTTATACAACATCAAAGAACAATAGGCTACAGAATCACGTACAGAATCTGCTAACGTACGCAGTGCCATTGCAATCTTACCAATACTAATCTTAATAGTATTTGAATGTGCAGGAAGCGAAAAGCGGAAAAAAAAGTGTGGAATATAGCAAGAGTTCCTTTTTATTGCTCCATCAACATGACATGTAATTAAGGCAAATGAATGACTACTAACATTTCTTAAATAAAGATCAGGTCACTATATTACCACATCTGAGAAAGGGTACATCAAAACCAAAGCTCAGGAAGTTTATGTAGTTCTAAGACTCATAAAAAGATTTTTTTCTTACAGAAGAGGTAAATTAATACCACCCAAATGGAATTACAGATCTTAGAGAAGACTAACTTTTTTTTGGGTGGGTGTTACTCTGAAAATGTTGGTAATACTATTGCTGTAATGATATATACTATGTGCCATGACTAAATTCCTTCCTTTTTTGGTTAAAAAAATTGCCCCTCAGAAAACTAAAGAGGAAGATAGTCTCCATTCCTGGGTCACTCTTCGCAAAAGAACCAGTAAAATGAGGGGACAGAACTGATTGGAAAAATGCTGGCAAAAGTGCTAAATCAAACTAGAATAATCTTTGGGAATATGTTGCTTTTGATAAAATTCTTGCTGGCTATTTCAGTAATCTGACTCCAAGTGCAGCCAATAACAGGTCCTGGGGAAGAGTACAACACTAGAATCAGTACGTAGTGCTAACTGGTGTATAGAGGCAGTGAAATATGCAACAAGACCCCACACTCCAAGGAGAGTACAAACTAAACCGGTAGAATTCAGGAAGACCTTATAATGGGTCCTGAAACTGTAAATAGCGGCAAGAAAGCATAATGCTTGCATAGAGAGAACAGATTAGACATAAAATGCATTCTGCACAATAACTGTGTCTAGGCTTCCTTTTATTAATACATATGCAATTTTATTTTTTCTTCCAAAACGACCAAGAATTAAATGTACTTGAATGCCTTCCCCGACTAGAAAATTATAAAAGTATCTGAGCTTAATAACCTAACATGGATTAATTTTCTAGAAGTATTTTAAAATACCCCGTAACTTCTCTGCTTTTAGCTACTTGAGCAAGGAGGCCCATTAAGGCAAACATATAGTACAGGTAGCAGCTGTCACAGAGCCAACTACAAAATTAGGTTAGGGACAACAGTCTTTAGAGAGTAACAATACCTTCTCTTTCCAACTAACACCTAGGAACACTCAATGAGGGGGACAGGAGACTGGCAGTTAGACCTCAGCCCTGAGTTCCTCAGACAGGAGAGATGAACTACCATGCCATAGAATTCCCCCACTCCACATGTAATAGGTACGCAGGAGATTGCGAATGATCCTGTAAATCTTCCAACAGAGCATTAGGAAGTCACTCAGGAGGGAAATGTGGAAAACAGCAGCCACCTTCCCTGAAAAAATCCCCCTTATTCTCTCCTTAGCTGCTTCTTGTAGGAGGGCTGGCCCCTCCTTTTCTACTCCCTTACCATGATGTCCTTTTTATTTTCCACTACAAGACAGCTGTATTGTCTGTCTTCTTTCATCTTTCTGCTTACTCGACTTATTTAGTAGCGACATGCTTGTATAATATCAAGTCCTTCTGCAGAACCTAAATTAGAAGGTACCACGCAGTTCACCTTTCCTTGCTAGCTGATCAAGGACCCTCTCCCTCTCCTGAATAAAAGTCAGAGAGGGCAGACGCTGTTTTAAGTTCATGATGAAACAAAACAAAATGAAAAAACACTTAGAAAGGAACCAGAAAGCAACACCAAATTTTCCGAAGGTTTGTGATATAGATTTTTTGCAAGTGAAGGATAACCCCAAGTAGAAAGATCTTGAAGATGGCCATTTCTAACCAGCCAAAGGAAAAAAGGCATCGGTATTTTCTTGTTCCTCCTTCATCACCTCTTTACCATGGCCCTCCTTCCTGAGCGACAAACAGCTTTGGCAGTGGGAGAGAAACTATGAGACATTTCCAATGCCCAGATACCTTCTGCTGATCTTGCCTTCTTGAACACATCTTCACAGACATGACAAGCAGAATGAAGGGGGCTGAATCACTTCTTGTAGTTACTAACTCCTTTACCAGCTCAAACCAGTATCTGTAAACAAGTGCTATACAGCTCACCTTACTTCTCAGCA